CTGAAATGTGGAGTGTGCCAAAAGGAAGTAAAATACTTTCACTCCTTTACTTTAAAGCACAGCAACTTCAGTGGCTGCTATACGACCGATGCTGAGCAGAGAGATAGAAACTTCCATGTTATTGTTTTGTATTTAAAAGTCAGGGTTTTTAAAATAAAGATTTTAATGCACACAGTTGCAAAATGGTTGGAGACGATATTGTCTAGTAGAAAGCTACAAGATAAAAAAATGCGTAAGAGGACTCGATCGCTTGGCTTACTTAGCACTGTCAGATGGCAAATGCATCATCTGATTTGATATTTTAGAGGTTCGAGGCTCCTAGAGAATGTATCATGATCTTAAGAATACTGTGAAAGTGAGCTCTGATTTGATAATATTAATTCATATGAAACAAATAACTAGTCCATCAGGAAAGGATGAATGTCTCTTAAGGGTATTTCGAATTTTGTATTGTAAGCAAGACATCTTTAATGTGTGTGTGAGTGTTAACCATACTGATAATACTTGAAGCACATGTTAAAATTAATTAGCTGACATATTACTGTCTGTGATACGGAATATTATTGTTTCTTATCACAGGAATAAGAAAACTCAATGCCTGTTTACTTGGAGCCAAGATCTTACGTTTGCAGTGGGACTTAAACTTCTAGTTCAGGGGTCCTCAAACTAAGGCCCGGGGGCCGAATGCGGCCCTCCAAGGTCATTTACCCGGCCCTCGCTTAGGGTCAACCTAAGTCTGTAACGACTTGAAAGCACAACAACAACAACAATCCTATCTCATCAGCCAAAAGCAGGCCCACACTTCCCATTGAAATACTAATCAATTTATATTTGTTAAAATTGTTCTTCATTTTAATTATTGTATTTTTAAAGTGGTTTTTGCACTACAAATAAGATATGTGCAGTGTGCATAGGAATTCATTCATGTTTTTTTCCAATTATAATCCGGCCCTTCAACAGTTTGAGGGACTGTGACCTGGCCCTCTGTTTAAAAAGTTTGGGGACCCCTGCTCTAGTTATACTTAGGATTGCATTCTTAATTAGGTTCCAATCCTAAACAGATTGATGAGGTAGGAAGTCCTGTTAATACAGTGTGTCTTAATTTGTAGTAGAAAATATAGAGTGGCGATTGCCATTATTATTACTTAATTTGAAACGTACATTCCTACCTACCTTGCCATATGTTCAGAATAGCCACAACAACAACAACAACAACAACAACAATCTTATAATTTGCATTTTAAAGTAATTTTGTCAATAAGATGTTTATGTGTTCTTAATTATGCTTATGTCATTGTATTTATACTTATGTATTGTTGTCTGCTGGAGGGAAAGATACTAGAGACAAAGTTGAAGTACTTTGGCCACATCATGAAGAGACAGGAAAGCCTAGAGAAGACAATTATGCTGGGGAAAGTGGAAGGCAAAAGGAAGAGGGGCCGACCAAGGGCAAGATGGATGGATGGCATCCTTGAAGTGACTGGACTGACCTTGAAGGAGCTGGGGTGGTGACGGCTGACAGGGAGCTCTGGCGTGGGCTGGTCCATGAGGTCACGAAGAGTCGGAGACGACTGAACGAATGAACAACAACATTGTTGTCTGCATGTGGCACTTGGGAGTGCTTCTGTGAGCCACCCCGAGTCCCTTTTGGAAGATAGTGGCAGGGTACAAATAAAGATTATTCTTTGTACCCTGCCACCATCTTTCAAAAGGGACTCGGGGCAGCTCACAGAAGCACTCCCAATTGTCACATGCAGACAACAATACATAAATACAATGACATAAGTATAATCAACAGCATATAAACATTTTATTAATAAAATTATAGAAAATAGTAAATTATAAAATTCCTAAAACACAGTGGAACCTGCGACCAGCTAAAAAGATAGAGGGAAGAATTTTATCATTGACTTCAGTAGGAGGAGAACTGCTCCTGTTTGTTGTGTTTCTACTTCCAATTTGTACAACTCTGAAATGCTGGTCCACATAATCTACCTTCTCCTGTTTTCATGGGCTTTTTAATTTTTAAGGTTGATAAATGATAAGGGACTCCAACTGTATTATGTGCTGTATTTCTACCTAATATCCTTGAAATGATTTATCTTTGAATCTGTATACGTATAACATACAGTTTCAGCACAAATAGTGTTTTAAGAAATATGTACGAATAATACTGAAGTTCTTGTTTGCCACAAAGAGATATCTGGACCTCACCATTCGGCACCTAGTTCACCACTAAATCACTGGAGTTAGCCAGGGACATGTTCTTGTAATCAAAAGTATTCCACTTCAGAACACAAGAGTTTCTAATTTAGCTGCAGTGAATAAAACTATTAATAGATGTGTACTTCATGAATATGCCAATATTCCACTACCCATAGCAGTCCCTTCACAAACTACATTGGAACCTCTCCCATAATTGTGGAGTTTGGATGAAATTAGACTGAAAAGGAAGCAACCTGGAACTGTTATTTGCTTGAAGCTTTTGCAACAAGCTCTCAAACTTATTTTTAAATAAGGAATTTTAACCCTATGCTGCTGACATTTTTTTAAAAATGCAGGGGACATTAGTTAAGTTGTATGGCTGTGGCGTTTCAAAATCTTAATAAGCAGAAGCTATATTTTTAAGTGGGCCATCATATCTATATGATTTTATGTCACTTTGTCTGTCTTCTGATTCTGTGTGTTTGTGTGCTCTGTGTGCATATATATCACAATAGTAGTTCTAGTTATTGTTAACTTTACGTGTACCTCACCTATCTCGTAAACTGAGTCTCATGATGACTTAAAAATTAAAATGGGCACAATGGCAAAGCACAGGTTGTGCTAACCTTATTTTGAATCCCAAATATTGAATTTCCAAATGTGCTTGCAGTTTTTGGCATATATGAGGGGCTGCTGATAAGTCTTTGGCTTTGTGTTCTTGTTTTATTTCTACGGTAACGAATGGTAACAAATGTTACATCACATAAAAGCCTTATGTGTTTCATATATTTTTCAAAATTTTGTGTTCGTAGCTTATGGCAACAGTGATCTAGGCAGAGGAAAACAAAATGGCGGAGTCTAAGGTGATATTCACAGCAAATGAGAGCAGAGGAGTGATAAAATTCTTGTTTCTGCAAGGAAAGTTCGTGAAGGATATTCATGGGGATATTTTATTTATTTATTTATTTAAATAAATAAATAAATAAATAAATCCTACAGTTAAGAACTGGGTTGCCAAATTTAAAATGGCTCACTTCAGCACGATGAGGAAGGTCCTGGATGACTGAGAGTGGTTGTTGTTCCGGAGATCATCGATTGGAGAGTGGGGAAGTGATGGAATTGTGATGGAATACTTCTCAAAGATCTAGTATTGGGTTTTGTTGTTTTTAATGCAGAGGACTTAAATAGTGCCCTATAGATATGATGAAATGGAAATAAGAAATATTGTGTAAGTACTGCATTCAGTAATCCTTCTGAAGTGGAACCTCATCTACCGGTGGAAGAGAGTCTACTGTGCCCCCATCTGCTCTTTTGACTTGAATTATCTGCAACATTTGCTGGGTTATTCCTGAAATCAGTATTGCTTGTCAAAAGGTCAATAATTTGGTATAGCTAGTATATTGGATGTAAGAAATTTAGGAAGCAATCATACCAGATTACTTGTGGTGAAATATGGCAAAAGTATTGTCAGATGTCTTGTTGATGAAAGTGATTTAAACTCTGTTGGGCTTTATACCTTCTACTGAAGAAAAAATGATCCTATTCCAATTTTTATTATCATTTTTATTACTAATCTCCTACTTGAGCTCTCTAAAAAGAGATCCAAAGTGACTGGAGGGGGAAAAATAGGCATGCTAGAAGGCATATCTGAATTTTTCACCATGGCAGTGCATTTGGGATCTGAGGAGGCTGAGGATGTGCTTTTCTGTCTACTGTCACACCCCCTTTTGCTGATATATGAAAGGGAGCTATGGCTGTGGTGCCTGGCTGGAGTTTTGAGATTTGGCTTTTCCTTACTAAGGTTGGACCTTTGCAGATTGCCTTAGAATCGAATTTGTAATTTGTCCTGTGGCTGGAAGACTGCATTCTTATGATAATGGATTGTAGCTTTAGCAAGATCTTCAATACTTTGATTATAGTCTAAGGGCTTTTAATAGTTTGATTCTTGAAGTTGATGCAAATCAACCATTTCCCCCACTTTTACCATAAATTTGTCATAATTACATGAACAGATTACAAGAAAGGAAAATGGCAGATTATTGTATTCTTTAGAGGGTTACATACTTTTTTTACATATTAGGAAACATAATGCTGTTTGTATTGTTAAAATATGGGTATTCGTCATTTGTATAGACACATTTCCCCACTTTTTATGCAGTCATTAATTTTTTACAACTGAGTATATACTTGGAAAAATGAATATCCTGAGAACACACATATATGTATTTGGTGCATGCCTGAGAGGAGGTAGATATCTGGACACAATAAACATTTTTGTTGACATGCTTAGATCGTTTTATCTAAAATTATCCTTTTTGTGTAAAGAACAACAAGAATGATAATGATGGTGGCAATAAAAGTACGCTTCAAAGAATTAGAATCAATACAAGGATAAACATAAATGTTGAACTGAAACCTACTCAATCTCTTGAGAACAAAGGGTTCTGAGTAACATATTATTCAAAGTCAAAATAAATGGATAGACATCAAGATTAGGAAAGTTTGTGCTAGAGAACAAAGTGGGTCTCATCTTTAGAGTTTTTCTTTGCACCCAAAGCCTTACATTTTGTTTGTTGAACCAAGCTTCACAATGGCTGGTACTGATAACTGGCAGTCTTGTGACTTGATTGTTTTTATTAACTTGCTCTGAAAGTCATTCACCATTAAACACAATTGGATTCATGTGTTGTTTTATTTACAGTTGCCCTTGTTAATATGGTGCCAGTGAAAATATCTCCAATGTTGTTTCTAGCTCTGATGAGCCAGTCACACTGTGGTATTCATTTTGTCTCCAGGGTAAGAAGATTGATCTTTTTGGTTGGCTGTAGTTGAAGATTGCTTAACAGAAGCCACAAAAAAGGTAAATAAAAAATTCATACTTGTTCTTGATGTTCATGTGGATTGAAGCAAATGCATGAATTCAGTATAATATCTTGATGGCCTGTTTATCCATAATTATTCCTTACAATGTTGAAAGTTATACTCTATCTTGTAAAGCTGCTGCTTCTCAGGCTATCTATCATGGAGGACCAGCAGTTATTTCTCCCAGTGTGACAAAGTCTGACAACTTATTCATACACATTGGTACATCTGTTCCTTTTTTCCATGAAACTCTCCAGGGACTGGCAGCCACTGACTCAAGTACTGATGCTATGTTCAGGGATGTACACTTTGAGGTGAACTGGTTTTAAGTGCCTCAAGATTGTGAACTCAGATCTGGAAGCACAAGGCTGATTTAATCAAAATTAAATAATTCTGCTATGAGTTATTAAATGATAACTCTTGTACTGTGGAATTATGTACATACCTGCACCAAAATAGATTCATCTATGGTCATAGGAGCTCATCCCTGTCCAGTGTGTTTAGGATTGTAATCCTCCATCACAACCTATACATGTATGCGCACTAAGAATTTTCTTGGAATTTAGAAGCATGTTATTTGCCAGGTATGGTAAGAAATTGACCAAACAAGGAATTCCAGACTTACCTGCCTAGATTCCCTTTGCTTCAGACTCAGATTTCATCTCAAGCTTTTGATGAGGTTACTTGGATCATGTCGAGTATAGATGAGGATCTGTCTCCCTGGAGTTTCATTATTAAATAAAGACAGCTTATTGATTCAAATGGAATTTAAGCCACATAAATTTAGTCAAAAGCCTCCTCAACATAATGTAAATCTGTTTGAAATCAAGGGTATTTAACTTGAATTATTAAACTTAGGATCATGTTCTGATCTGGTAAGTTGTTGTCTTGTATGATGTCAGAATATTTAAATCTTGGATTTGTACCAAAATTTAAATTCTGTTTGATATCACCAGTTCTGAGTAAATGCAAGTTAATACGTGACGTAGAATTATACTGGCTCATACCATTGATCCATTTTGCTCAGTTCTGTTTATTCTGATTAGTAGTAGCAACTCTCCTGGGATTCAAACAGGAATGTGGAGCGTGTCCTCTGTCGCTGAGCCACTGCACAGTTGGGGGTGCAGTTTGCTACGTGATTATATTCTGCTGCCCCATGCTCCTTTCTATGCACTATACTTTGGTTGTTTATTGAGGGCAACAGTTCACTTTTAATCCAAACATCCCTGTAACAAATATTTGGCATTTCTAATTATGAGTATGCTTTGGGTGTACTGCTGGTTGGAACTGGACAGTGTTCTAGAATGTGTGTCCAAAAGTAAATGTTTCGTTGTTTGGTCCTGGAGATGTGTATTCTGTTGAGGTAGATGCTGACTTGTTAAAATACTGGGATTTTCTAGAACTTCCTTGCTCTATATTTCTGGAATGTGAACTCTTAATTTTGTAATTTGATCTAATGGAGTATGGGCATCCCCTTCTTTCTTCACCTATAATACTTCAACATGGGGTAGGCAATATGTGCTACCTCCACTTTTCTTTGTGATCTTCCAGGTCTCCACTTCTGAAATAAATACTGTGCCAAAACATTTGGTGGCACAGTTATGATTGCAAGAGAAAATTGAATGTTTGTTTGGGAACCACATGCCATGTTTGCAGACCTTGTTTTAGAGCAAAATTGCATTCCAAGTCCAGTTCTGTTTCAAAAGGTGCAGGTCTTTTCCTTCAAGAAAACTGGGCCTGTTTTTGTTAACAATATCAAGGGGTGGTGTCCAAATGCTTGAGGAAGGTTCTGAATCATCTCCTTGGCCTGAGAAGTTACCCACTATTGCTTTAAATTGAATTATTCTGATATGTGCATTCTTGTTACATGTACCTAGGCTTGATTTTTTTCTCTGCTTTATGTAAATCATGTCATCCAAAGTTTTTTTTTTCTAATTGTTTTCTGAATCCAAGTGGCTACTCCCTGGTTGTGGACGTTCCTTGCTACCAAGGAAAATTAAACTAGGTGTGAAAGTGGCACTTCTTTATGGACTGTATTTAACCTTATTTAATATTTCCTTGATATAAAATTCTTGCTTATCATCACCCCATTCAGCACATTCTATACATTCAGTGAATTATCATGTTAAGACTGCCATGTGTACATTACACTAACATGTTCAGAATTTGAAAATTCACTGCACAATAATAAAGGAAGATGGTCTACTGTAGTTCTTAAATATATAAAATAGCAATGTGTCAGTCAAATAAGTAAAACTGGCAGGTAAATCCTACTTCCTGACACACTGATGTCTTGTGGAGATAGGGTATTTCTTGAATATTAATTCTGTACTGATCTAATGCCAAGTGTTGTTAATTGTAAGTTGCTCCCAGGCAGCCGTAAAAGAAAAGGGATGACGGTTCTGGGAAAAACAAAACAAAACAAAACTCATTGTGTCATCTTTTCTAGGGGCAACTGGTTCCCATACTATTAATTTTGTAGAAATCCTGAGTACATGAGAAATAACTATGTGTATTATGTAATAACATTTATTTCTATGTACACACTAACAATGTTCTTAAAAGTGTAAAGGGGAGTAAGACAGTTGTCTTGTCACACACAAAAATGCCATAATTCTTTGTAGTGAAGGTGCCATCACTCCAAAGCTGTCTTTCTTATAGACATCCACATTGTTTGGGGGTATCTATAAATGACTTAGTCCTGAACTGTTTAAGGTTGTAAAGATTAAAACTTCCATTTTAGATTAGGCTCAACAGACAGTGTAGATGGCAAAGTACTAGCATAATATGATTATATCTCTCTATATAAATGTTCAGCTCCTATGTTCTGGATTAAATTATTTTCAACCTGTTTAGAAAGGCATGTCTGTGTAAAACAAATTACAGTTATCCAGGTGGCAGGCTACCTTAATATGAATAGCTGCTGTAAAGCTTTCTCTTCCAAGGAAAAACTAAGCTGATAAAAGTCACTGTAAATATCAAATGATGATGATGGTTCAATGTAGGCCCTATTGTATTGTCTGGGAGACCTCCAAACAGTTGTCTTCTCCTCCAGAAGGCTTAAGCCTCACTAAACCAGGCAGACGAACCACCTGCTTGCTTGTATAAGACTGTATGTATTATTTCTAGATAATATAACATGGTATAGTATTTATAGCCTGGTCTGGCTAATCAGCCATGTTTTTCTTACCTGCTTATGTTTAATTTCCCATCACGATTGGACTGAGAACAAAACATGTCTACTCTACTTTAATAAAATACATACATGTGCAGATGCAATATAGTAATTTGCCTTTTGGCTGGAAATTTACCGACCCACTTTCATCCAGTTGAGAATGGAAAGCACCAAGACAATAAGCTCATAGGTGTAGGAGTCCGTAATGGAAATGGTGACAGAACACTAATTGGAGTGGTGCCATTGAAATAAGAAAGGTTAAGGGCTTGGTTGATTGAGATCAAGCTCAATTGCTTTGATTGCTTAATTTCAGGTGAATCCTGTCTTGTCTGCTACTGATCAAAATGTTCATTGCAGTAACAAGCTTTTACTTTTAATTCTTACAAGACCATTTGTGTAGTCCTCAGCTTGTGTTTTTAATTTAGGAGATGCTGTCCTAAACTTTCTCAGTACAAAAAGGAAAAATGATCTTCCTGGCAGTATGAAGAAAAGAGATTACGTATGATGATTTTTTTCAATATTTGTTAAATACACATTGTCTTACTCTTCTGAAATGTATAGCTGGTAGCAGTCTCACATACATATAATATGATCCACTCTTGCTTCACTTTAACAATTCTGCAGTTTAATGTTCTGCCAGCCCTTAAAACGGACTTAATCTAATTGTTATTTCCAGCCGAGTAGAACCATTGAATCAGAGATTTCCCAACTGTGTGTCATTGCAATGTGCAGGTATGTTGCGCATATGTAATGAGAGACCTCTAAGTCTATGTGAAATAAGCAATAATTAATATATTTTAAATATATAAATGAAAAGGTTTTCATGAGATGTGTTATATCCCAATACATTTTGTTATTACAATTTATTATTTGCCCATATTTCTTATGGCTTAACTCCTGGTTTGCTAACAAAACTGAATTACTATGTTGTGAAATAGTGTGTGTCTGAAAAGTGTGTCACCAATGTGGACATTTTGGAAAGTTCTTCCCTAAAGAATGACATCAAATACTCATTGGTTTAGTGGATTTGCTGTAGTTTGATATAAAAATTGGATTTAAGTTTAGGTCACCAATGACAACATTTAACACAAGGTAAGGTTCTATCAAGTCAAATAATGTTAAACAATTTTAAGTCTTACTCATATCAGTTTTTTTTTTGTCGTGTCAGGAGAGACTTGAGAATCTGCAATTCACTTCTGGTGTGAGAGAATTGGCCGTCTGCAAGGACGTTGCCCAGGGGACGCCCGGATGATTTGATGCTTGAATTGAAACATTGAATTGAAAATTGAAACAAACACGTGGAACTTACTTTGATGTGAATAATCCATCCAAAAGAAAACAATTCCAAATTGTGCAGATTTCAACTGAAGTATTAAGTTGCTTAGCTCACTCATATCAGTGTGAGAGAGCTAAGCAATTTAATACTTCAGTTGAAATCTGCAGAATTTGGAATTGTTTTCTTTTGGATGGATTATTCGCATCGAAGTAAGTTCCACATGTTTGTTTCAATTTTATACTTTACATCAAAATGCATACTGTATATGTCTATGTCTGGAAGAGGGATCCATCCAGCACAAAGGAAATGACAAGAGGCAGAGATCAGACACTCTTGCCCCTATTATCCCTTCTTTGCCCAAATTAGAAAAAGTTCAAATGATTTTACAGTGATGCTCTATTAAAAATGGCTATCACCGTTACTCTCCAGAGAAAGGTATTAAAAATGGCTGCCCTCATTTCACCCCACATTTTTTTAGTTTCCCTCTATTGCTGCTGAATACCACTTCAGATTAAAAAAAAGGGGGGGGGGAGGAAGAAGGGAGGGC